CTTAATGAATTTAAATAAAATCTAATATGAAAAACTTCTCCCTTCTCTTTTAGTGTATAGAAGAGGTACAAGCAGGCTCTGGTTGCCCCAAAAGCAGTCCTCAAGCTTTTCCTCACTTAACATGCAGGACATGTAAGTATCAAGCACAATTTTTTATATAAGCAGGCTTAGTTGGGATGTCAGCAGTTAGACCGTATCGCTTAAGGAAAACAATAATGTAATCCGACTATGCATGGACATCTGTAGCATGTATACTGACAGACTGATGAAACAGTGACATGGAAACGTTGCATATTGACATTTCAGATACAAGCGTAAACATTCCGGCGGATCACCAAAGTGTGAAATTAAGTCGCAGGATTAGGAAAACATGCTGGCGTGTGTTTATATGGGTATGCTTGAAACATGCATATCTATAATAGGTGTATCTCCGTGGACACTGTGTGGGTATGCATACTCGCTTGTAATGATTGAGTAGGTAGGGATGTTATGGAGTGCTAGTATAGGTTGCAGCTCAGGTGTTATGGTGTTAGACTTGGTAGTCTCATGTGAGTGCAGTATAACGACATGTCGCATATGAGTAGTCAAGTAAGTGGTACAACTGTAGCTTATAATGTCGTGTGGTAACAGGTGATGCCTGTGTGGTAGTGTAAGACTTGCTGCCTCAACGTGGTATATGTCATAACCATGCAACACAAACTGAGCCCATCCGGCCACATTCTCGGTTCTCGCCAAACTGTTCCTGAGGGAACTGCATCGTTATGAGTAAAACAATCATGATGAACACGTGTCTGAGGGATAAATCTGACGGTGGGACTTAGATGCGTGAGAAGGAATATTGATGAGGCAAAAACAGATCGCGTTCTGTGTGGGATATCAGTTTATGCAGGGGCAGTGTCAATATATGAATGTCTGGGCAGCGTTAATGGCTGAGTGTGCGGATGGCCGCCTTCTTTCTGGTTAGTCACCACATACCTTCAGGCGGCAACAGTATCTGCAACATTGGGGGTTCGCGTGGGTTGGTGGTCGACCAGGCGTTAACCGGTTGCTCCCTCCAACTCCGGGGCTGTTTTGAGGCCGGCATCTTGTTGCCACAGACTCGGGGACTTCCGAAGGCAGAGTCCTTCCCTGCCGGGACAGGTCTGGAGGCCATGGGCTGGCCTCCACCTCCGTGGTCGATGCACCAAGGTTTTTCCGCTGGTGGCCTTCAGCCCAGATGGGCTTATGTGGAGAGGTAGGGGCT